TTTTTTTCAATTAAAAGTACACAAAACTTTGCAATAAATGTATTAATAGATCGAAAATTATTATACTTCTCTGTTTAGTCGACGTATACCTCCAAAAAACGGGTGTGCCAGTAACTGTTGTCAGAAAGTAACCTTATGTACTCTCACTCTTACATGTCTCTTTGGGTGGATTGTAATGGCACTAGCAAGGTCAGTGTTTTCTATTTATATAACGATGTATGTCATCCAAGAATTCAACATTTTCCGCATCGACGTCAGTACGGAGGCGAGTAAAAAGTTGCTTGCGTACATTATAAGACCAAAATGCAGCCTTCTAGAGCAAGTTACAACAAATAATTGAGTAATCAGCAGTGTGAGGGTGGACTGGCAGTAACAAAAAAGATATGACAGGCTAATGCTTTCAAAATGCATGAAAAACGGCGGAGCTGAGAGCAAGACTGATACGGCGATGTAAAGTCAATCCTTTTTCTGCGAGATAAACACTTAGTATAAGTCACACAGATAAGTAATAATAAAAAAAAAGTAATTAGAAATAGATAGCAATTAAGACAGGTCAATTAAAATTTGGGTAAAACCAACTGCACTAAAAACGTAGTTGTCAGGTAGCTGTAAGCAAGTCCATATACTCCAGAAAATTATTAATTTTATTGAAAAGTCATATATTCGTCAAACAGAGGCTTTGAGCCTGATACAAATCAAAAACTTTTATGCTGACAGTGCTAAGCTTACCTTAGAGACCAAACCTGCGCTTTAACAAATCCATGAAATTTTTGGCTTTAGCAATGATAGGTGCTCTACACTTTTAGTGTCTCTGTCGGACTCAATCTGCGATTACAAGCAAACGTTGAAAAAATTGGGATAAGCAACAGTGGTCTTAGGTGTTTACTGATTGCACCGTTTCGTTTACGGTATTTACGGTACTCTAAAGTGTTTGAACAGTCAACTTTTAAGCGAATAATATGTTAGTGGAAGTGTTGAGCCATACCAGTTAAGGACTCCGGTGATCAAAAAACCACTGAGTGTACTTTTAGTATTTATTCAACATCCAACAGTCTTAATGAAACAAAAATTAATAACGTATCAGCTTGAGCTGAAGTGTAAGAATATAGCTTGGATCTGTTGCAGTTAAGCTATCTTTCCACCAAACAATAAATCCATCTTCTAAAAAATGTGAAGTGACATTTTTATTTCAGTAATCAGACAGGTTATCAATTAATAAAATAAAATACATTTTTTTTTTTTTTGACTTCTGTTACTTATGTTTCTTACAACTTGTTACAGCGTATCCTTCTTCCCCGCTTACACTGTGGAAACTATGTGCAAATCATTGTTTTATGATACAGAGAAGACCCCATCTGATTTGCTGCTAAATTATCTGCCATCATTTCGTTACGAAGTTAAACCACCGCTTAATTCGTCGATTCCGTTTGACTTAAAGCTTGGGTACGCTTCGCTTTATTGTTTCCCTTATGCGCTTTTTTAGTTCTTTGGTTTAATTAGTTTTTTCTTAAACGAAAAGTTTTTATTTTTTCAAACAACCACTGCCATGATAAATTTCACCCTGTACACTTATCTTCAGGTGTGTTTTACAGGTCAATTTTATACGACTGTGTCAATGATAATTACTCACTTTTTGGAGCTATGTCTGGATCAATGTTGTTCAACATAGATGAACTACAAAAACTAGCCAATTTAACAGAAGGCGAAGAGGCTGAGTTGAAACAGTTTAAGGAGTCAGCGGAGAAACTTAAATATGACGTTTCGGCCAATATAAATGTCACAAATTTCGAAGTAAAAAGTTGATTTTGCATAGAATTAATTCTTTTCTGGTTATAAATGTTTGATAGTTGAGCAATTCCATTAGCTATCGTTAACTGCCAAATATAATTTTTTACTTCTCCAACAACCAGTAACATTTTATATTATTTTTAGAGAGACGTTAACAGCTCAACTAATATTTACGAAAATTTCAATACTAGTTTAACAGAATGTTGGAAGGCCTTGCCCAAAAATAAAACAGTAAATGAAACAGAAGTGGCTTTAAAATCTGCTAAAGAGCAGATAGGTACAGCGACAGAAAACTTGAGGTAATTTTAAAATCTACCATTATTGCTCAATCAAGAGGTAGAATTGTGATCACAAACAAATCTATTTTGCTTCAATCAATAAACGTTATTTTTTATAAATTTTACTAACTCCATATTTTATAGAGATGTCTTGAAGAATATCTACAACGCTTTGTCTCAGGCAAAATTATCTGGGAATTTTACAAAGAATGCTGGCGATGTTACCAGTGTTTACCAGCAAATCCGGAATAGTCAAAAAAATCGTTTAACAGAAATGCAGGTAAAAAGTCTTGTCTAAAATTTGTTATTTGTTAAATCAGTTTTTAAAACCCCATATTCTAACAGAGCTATTGATATAGCAATACCTAATCACTAAAACATACGAGTGTCAGCCATTATATGTAACTTGGAAAAATATTGGCAATGTTTACTGTAATCATATTGGGAAACCAATGCAAGGTGTATGGGCAGCTATTGGATTTTCAGCAGTCTTCGTACTTCTACTATCACTTTCTCTGATTTGTACATCAAGATATTTGTCAAAACCGAGAAGACACAGTAGACAAAAAGTAAGTTTAATAAACTATTAATTGACCACAAAATTCTAAATAATTGTTTTGGACTTGAAATTAGCGATTAAGAGAATCCTATTTAAATTTTGTTTCAGAGAGGTAATTATTCAGCCGATGATGGCTTCAACGCACCACTCAAGGCCAATAATGAAAGAACACAAGCACAGTATTACAATCAAGGTGGAAATGCCAGTGTTGTCTCTAATCAGCGCTATCTTGGAAACAGTCAATACTATCCGTAAGTGGCATAATTTATATATACGACTAATTAGTACTCCTTATATTCATTTATCCTATACTTTACCAACCTCTGCTTCAAATTTTCTTCAAGGGAAAGTACAGTAAAAAGCTAGAAGATTTATTTACAAAGATTTATTGGCGTTATAGCCTAAAAAAGTTATAATAAGTACCTGCAATAAAGGTGAAATTTACTGATCTGTTGGTTAAACATCAAAAAAAAAAAGTTATATTTTGTTATTTTTAAGCCTTTATTATCTGATTATTACTGACGACTGCTGTTTTTATTTTTAATTCGATTTAAAATTTTTAAAATTTTATCGTTTCTCAATTTAGTATAATCAAATAAGAAGTCATAAATACTGTTTTAGAACGCCATATCCAAGGCAGCAGTTTACGAACTTTAATAACCGTTTACCTGGCTACTATCAAACGGGCTACAATTATTAAATCTTCAACCTTTGATCAAAAGCCCTCCAAGAGAGATCAGGATAGCTGCAAATCATCAATAACTACCAACAACAATAGCATTTTTGCTGCATTTCAAAACTCTCTTTTTTTAATCAAATAGTCTTGCTAGAAGTAGTTCAAAAAATTATTAAGTTGAATCAGAACTACCTGGCCTAAAAATTTACCAGAAAAAAAGTGGTACAGCAACGAAACCTTAGCTAATTTTTGCAGTTTTTGCAGTAAAAGCTTCTACTATTTGACTAATATCTAATAGAAAACTATTTTTGGAAAGATATTAGGTAAACTTGCCAAACTTCATTTTACTATTGTTGAAGTTCGCCAAGAAATTGTCAGTTCCTAATAATTCAAAGATAAACTAAAAATTTATATGTAATTTAGTGATTTCGCAATGAATTATACAAGCAAATATACCCTCCATTACATTTTCTTTGTGAATCGAAAGATTTGTTGAAAATCGCAATTTAAAAAAGAAATTTCAATATTTTGCTGTATTTGAACCGTCTGTAAGGATGGAACTGTTGTAGAAAAACTGTATTACAGTTATGGCTGTAACGTTATCAGTAAAGATTAAAGAATCTTAGTGTAAGTAAGGTCTTAATATCTATTTTTTGCAAATTAAATAGACTTTCATTCCGAAATCATCGATGTAAATGTCTTAATGTCTGCACACACCTCATAAATATAATATTGCTGTAATTAATGTTTCAATTTATTGGAAAAAGAATAAAAAGTTATTTGGTAGGTAAACTAGCCTGGAATTTCAGAATATTCTTAAAACGATTTTCCCAAGTTAGATAACCACCCAAGAAATTGCCCCAAAGTTGTGAATTTTTACCATTTACTGCTGTAAAAAAAGGAGAGATAGAAGAAGAATAAAATGAACAAATGAACCTGTGCTTTTGGCGTATAAATACATTGATATATAACATCGTATCAGAACTGAAAAAAAAAAAAAAAACATTTCTCAACAGTTTCACTAATATTTCGCTGTCGTCAAATTTTTGCCGTCTTGATGACATGTAAACTTTTACCTAAACAACGTATTCAATACATTCACCATTCCCTATAAAAAAAATTTTTCTTCAGCAACTTTCACAGAAAAAAAAATACAGAGAAAAATTTCACAAAAAGAAACTTTGTAAGTATGGTTGAGAAAAGTAGGTAAAAGCGATGAAAACGAAGGCGATCCCAGTAAACAACTGATTTGAATTTTTTTTATTATAGTCCCAGAGAAGTCATTTTTCTGGGAGGTTCATAGTACGACAACTGATAAGCTTGCGCTCCAAGTGTGAAGAAATAAATATGGAGCCTCCGTTTAAAGCAGAAAGAGCGCCTACCAGAGGAATGCAGTAAGGGTTGTTACGTCCGTCTAAATTTAGCATGCTTGAATTGGATACGTCTTATAGACTACTGTTCATGATGGAGGAAACCCTGTTCTGCTATGAAGCGGTTAAAGGGAACTAGAAAGACAGACTTGTTTTTGGGATGGAAGAAGATTGTTGGACAGTGAAAAAAGTTTATCTTTTTCGGTTATGCACCGCGCCACTTAATTACTGTTTCTCACCTTTTATTTTTAACCGTGAGGTTACAATTCACGACTATAAACTAGATCCCCTTTTTTCATTAACGCTTCATGTCCACTAATGCACGTTTTTTCGTAACTAACCAGCAAAGTACAATTTTTTTGCATATTACAGAATCTTTTTTGCAGATAACGATGCTTCTCACAAGTTTCGATAAGTTCTCTAGCTAGCTGTGATAAGCTCTCTATAATTTTGTAGCGGAAAATGCAATAACAGTGTGTCGAAAATTTTGCTGGTTTACGAGTGAAAAAAAGATAAAAATTATACTCAGCCAGCTGGTACTCTCATATATTGTCGTAATAGACAAATTTTTTCTGCTGTAAAAAGTGTTTCTTTGGAAACCAAACCTGTAACTTTTCTCCAGCTAACGTACTCAAAAGTATCAATTTCTACTCGGCAAACCCGAAACGGCACTTTTACAGCTTAAGACTTCAACTTAAATGCTAAATTTTTGAAGCAGTTACAAAAATAACTACCTTAAATGTACCAATTAGCTAAGAGACCTTTGTATGACAGTAGTACTCTACCGAGCTTGAACAACTGCAAAAGTTTGAACTTGAACAGAAGCATAGAACGCTGCAGACCAAAAATAGCATCTTTACAAATAATTGGTAAACATTTTTCAACAGAAGAACAAGTAAAGTGAAGTTGTCTTCTCCTACAAAGCCAATTCCGCCAGGGTTCAGGTTACTTGTTTGTACCCGGATGCTTCGTCTCCTTCCTGCGATGGCGATAGATATATACAGATATTTACCG